TTCTGTAATTGGAGGCAATAGGTTACTGAATTACCAATCACTTGATTTAATCATATCCATACATACACAAGCACATGAACAAATTGACCTACTGACTTTTCTTCTAAGTTTACTAGTATTCCTGTTGAGAAAGGGAAACATTTTTCTTTGATGCAGGTTAAATAAAGGAGATGGGCACAGGTGTCACTAAATTGCAACCATAGCCCTGGCAGGTTTGGCTCAGAGCTTCTGCCTGTGGGCTAAAGGTTCCCGGGTTCGATTCCAGTCTGGGGCACATGCCCAGGTTTCCAGCTCAGTCCTCAGTAAGGGTTGTGCAGGAGGCAGCCGATCAATGATTCTCTCTCCTCATTGGTGTTTGTTTGTTTGTTTGTTTTTCCTCTCTTTTTCTCTCTTCTCCCTTCCTCTCTGAAACCAATAAAAATACATTTTTTAAAAATTGCAACTATAACACAGCCCCTAACCACATAGGATAAATCAGACAATAATGTATTTTAACGAAGAAATTACAATTGGGAGAATGACCCTTTTGAAAAATGCTCTCATAAAGCCTCTTGCTGAAAAGGACTAGCCTGGGGCATTGTTCTCTTTACTTTGGCTCCTGGATGAGCCCTAGTGCTTTTTTTTATTTTTTATTTTTATTTTTTTAATCTTATCTGATATTTGTAAATCAATAGCATTGGGGAAATCTGCCCACCTCTGAATTCAGTTCCACATTTAGCCTTGTAGAGTCATCTGTTTATATGGCAATTACTCATTCAGGAATACTTATAAATATTATGTCTGTGCTGTTGTTGTTTTAGATTACTAATTCCTTGGAAGGCAGGAGACCTGTTTAATTAATTGTGTTTAATAGTAAACATTGGTCATTACGTGTAAGGCTTTTAATGCTGCTGATGAACATAATAGTAATAAAATACTTTCCTTGGCTATAGCAAATATACGTAATCTCTCTTCTTATAAGACAGAGTTGGCAAATAATAGTCTTGGGGGCCAAATCCAGTCACCATCTCTTTTTGCCTGTTTTTGTAAATAAAGTTTTATTAAAACACAGTTGTGATAATTTGTTTACATAGTCTGTGGCTGCTTTTCTGCTGCAGTGGCAGAGTTGAGTAGTCATGACAGAGATCTCTTGGCCTGTAAAGTCTAAAATATTTATTACCTGCATTTACCAAAAAAAATGCTGACCATTGCCCTGGCCAGGTGGCTCAGCTGGTTGGAGCATCCTCCCATATACCAAAAGGTTCTGGATGCAGTTCCTAGTCAGGGCACACACCTAGGCTGAGGGTTCGTTACCGGTTGTGGCCTGTACAGAAGACAACCAATTGATATTGTCTCTCACATTGGTGTTGCGCTCTCTCTCTCCCTCTTACTTCCTCTCTGAACTCAATAAAAATATATTTTTTAGCCCTAGGTGGCTTGGCTCAGTAGATAGTATTGGCCTACAGACTGAAGGGTCCCAGCCAGGTTCGATTCCAATTAGGGCACATGCCTGGGTTGTGGCCTTGATCCCCAGTGGGGGGGGTGTGGGAGGCAGCCGATCAATGAGTCTCTCTTATCACTGATGTTTCTATCTCTCTCTCTCCTTCTCCCTTCCTCTCTGAAATCAATAAAAATCTATTAAAAAAAAAAAAATATATATATATATATATTTTTTTTTTAAGAGAATTACTTTGGAAAAAAAACCCATAAGGCATTACTCTGATTTGTGTGTAATCTAAAAAACAGCATTAATATTTTATTAGGATTCATGCTAAGAACAAAAATGTATTTGATGAGTTACTATTATTTGATAAGAAAAACTAAAGATTAGATGACATATACATAAAATAGATTTTTTAAAATTTTATATACTTCTTATGTGCCACGTACTGTTCTAAGGCCTTTATGTGAAGTAACTTATTTAATTTTCATAGCATATCAGTGGTGGAGGACCAAGCAGAGTCTACATTTCTAGGTATTCTATATCAGAATTAAATAATAAAATATAAGATAAGACTAAATTATTTAAATTGTGTTAAAGCTACAAAATACTGATTTCTGAGAACAAATAATATAAAACTTTTCACTTGTTTGTCTTTAGTAATTCATTTTTTTTTTTTTTAAATATATTTTATTGATTTTGTACAGAGAGGAAGGGAGAGAGATAGAGAGCCAGAAACATCGATGAGAGAGAGTCATCGATCAGCTGCCTCCTGCACACCCCCTACTGGGGATATGCCCGCAACCAAGGTACATGCCCTTGACCGGAATCGAACCCGGGACCCTTCAGTCCCCAAGCCGATGCTCTATCCATTGAGCCAAACCGGTCCCGGCAGTAATTCATTTTTTAAAAATATCTTTTTATTGATTTCAGAGAGGAAGGAAAAGGGAGACAGAGAAATAAAAACATCAGTGATGAGAGAGAATCATTGATTGGCTGCCTTCTGCATGCCCCTCTATTGGGGCTTGAGCCTGCAGCCCAGGTATGTGCCCTGACTGGAATCGAATCTAGGACCCTTTAGTCTGCAGGCCGACACTCTGTCCACTGAGCCAAACCAGCTAGAGCTAGTAATTCATTCTTAATGTGTTATCTTAGCTCAAGGTACTTCTCAAACACAGTTTCACTATACATGTATTAATAAAAATTTCACTGGATTAAAACAATTTAGGAGTTATAACTTAAATTTCAACACAATATCAGATTTAATCTTATTTATATTAAGTATGAACCCTCTGAAAAATGTTACTAGTACATAACAATAACATAGCAAAAACTTTTAAACAGCAAAATCAGGAAAACAGAGCTTAATTCACCAGCTAAAATTCTTACAGAGTTAATTTGGGAATAAATTCCTTTTTTTTTTTTTTTTTCCTCTCTCACTGAATAACCATATGATCTTTCTTCTAAATAGGCTCAGTCTGGAAGAATAAATTATCTTGTATGTTTAGCCTAATCAGGAATTTAAAGCATATAAATGACTTCTTGTAGATTAGTTTTTATTGTAAACACTTCAGTGTTTTCTTCAAATCTGCTCTTCTCCTTTTTCTGCCAAATGTTGAATTATACCACTAAAATGAATTTTGGGGAGCCACTTCATTTTAAACTGAAATATTGGTGAAATACATTTAAGTTAAAAATTTTATTTTTTTTTAAGGGAACCTTGAAGGGGCTTTACCAACCTAGGCACAACCATTAGTAGGTCAAAGAATTAATAGATCGCTTGGTTGTAATGGAAGTTACTGGCTTCCCTTAAACAAATTAAGTTGGCATGTTTGCCTAGCAACAGCCACTCAATCCTTCTGTTGTGGAAGGTTCCCTAGTAGTGAAAAGAAGAGAGGAGGAGGAAAAGCAGGAACAGATTAATGTTTTTCCTAGCAGGGGACTGAGGCCTGGCTGTTTGAGATGGGAGATAGCCTTTAGGTTAGCACACGCCAGTCTAATCCCTCTGTGGTAGCTGGAAATTTGTTCTTTGTGGGACTGGGACGACTAATTAGTCGGTTGAGGACAAGGTTACAGATTTAGTTCACTTCAAAGGCAGTCCTTTCCACTCAATAGGGCTTCTAAAAAGAAGCTGAAATCTGAGGAGCAGGAGGTGGTAGCAGTTAAAAAGAACTCTCCCGGGCTCAGAGTTCAGGAAGGTGTGCGACACACTATTTGCAGACAATATAAAAACACTATCTGCCATAGTGACTGGATTTTATCAGGTTGAGGGCAGAAGCGTCTCTAAATATAGTGCAGCACTTTCCTTGGTATTGGAGATGCATGCAGAGAAGAAAAGACGGGAAAGCAACATCCCTGCGCTCTCAGCCAAGATCTGGGGCAAAACAAAACAAAACAAAAAAACAAAACACAAAAAACGAGGATGATCGTTGAGAGGCCTATATCCTGGGTGCTTTTTTGAGGACGATCTCTCTTCTCTAGTCTAATCAGACGATTTATTTTGAAATTAGATCTGCATCGTATGAAAAACATTCCATTTCTCTCACTTCTTCAAAGCTAGGGTCTGGCTAAACGGAATTGCCTTGCAGGGGTCTCCCATTACCCGGAACATGGCTCCTCCTTTCTCCATAAGGGAGAAGAAACTTCCAGCCATCTCGAGGTTAGCTCTTAGGCCCAGGAGCCATTCCAGGGGCCGAATCTTCCCCTGTTCCCGCCCTGTGCCCCTCGCCCCCTCGGCTCCTCCTTCCCCAGCGAGCTCTTCCCTTCCCAGGGGCCTGGGGACACCTTCGGGGCAGCAAGTGTGCAGGCCTCTGGGCCATGCCGCCCTGTTGGGGGGGGGGGGGGGACTCTTGAGAGGGGCGACTGGGGCAAAGCTGTTTGTGACAGAGAATCTGGACAAAATAAAATAAGAACAAATTCTTCTGGGGTGGGTGAGGCGAACCACGGCAAAGCAACAAGAATGGAGGGACAAGGGCTGGGAAAGCCAAGCGGGTAGAAGTCGTGGCGGGGACGCGGAGGGCAACGTCGGGAATTTTACAATTCACGGTCACTGTCCGGCCACCTGCTGGCTGGGCGCGGAGGCGCCGGGGGCCGGGCCGGGCCAGGCGGGCCTGGGACCGGTTCTCCCGCTCGGACGCGTTGCGCTCCGGGTCCTGGACGGGGCGCGTCGCCGGCCTCCCCGTCGGGCGTCGGGGGACGGTGACTCAGAGCGACCCTCCCGCGTCCGCCCCGCCCGCTAGCCCCGCCCCCATCACCCCGCCCTCAGATGGTCCCGCCCCTTTGATAACGCCCTCCAGCAGCCACGCCCTCCGTTGGCCCCGCCCCTTGATCCCGCCCCTCCTGTGGCCCCGCCCCGGAAGGTGGGGCCTCGCCCTGGGTCCCGCCCAGTCTCCGGGGCGGGCGCGGGAGCCCGAGGAAGAGGAAGGGGACGAGGACTAGAGCGACCGGGCGGAGGCGGAGGAGGAGGAGGAGGAGGAAGAAGAGGAGGCCGACCAACAAGATGGCCCCTGCTGCCCGAGCGGCCTCCGCAGCAGCAGGTGGGGGGCCGCAGGCGGCGCTGGCGGTGGCGGCGGCCGGGGCCCGGCGGCCTGGGACAGAGTCGGAATCGACGGTGGCAGCGGCGGCGGTGGCGGCGGCGGCGGTGGCGGCGGCTGCCGCGGCGGTGGCGACGGCCGCGGGGACTCGGAGCTGAGAGGAGCTGCTGCTCGGACCAGCGCGGTGAGCGGCGACGGCGGCGGCGACGGCCTGGGGAGCTGGCGGGGCGGCCCGGGCTCGGTCGGGAACAATGGGCAGCGGCGGCGAGGAAGGGGTTGTCCCCGCCCGTCCTCTGCTCCTGGGCCGCGCCCGCCCGCCCGCCCGGCCTCGGGCCCCGTCGGCGACCGGGGACTACTTAGTAGCCAGCGGCCTCTAGGCCTCGGCCAGCCGCCTGGAGCGCCTGCGGGGCGGGTAGGCCGTGGGAGGTGCGGACGCTGCTCGGGACCTGGGGAGGGCGAGCGAGCGAGGCTCCAGCCGGCCGGAGGGAGGGAAGGAGGGAGGGAGGGGGCCAGCAGGCTGCTCAGCTGCTCCCAGACTGCGAGGCCTGGCTGGCTGGGAGGGGACAGCGCCCGGGAAACGCGGCTGGACCCCCCAGTCTGCGGGGTGGGGGAGGTGAAGGCGTCTGTAAACAGGCGCCGCCTCTGCCTCCCTGCTCGGAGCTGCTCCCTTCCCCAGCCCCTCAGGCGCTCCCCGTCCCCAGCCCAGTGGCTTTTACGACGTCTCTTTCCCTAGAGATCGATCCAGATAGTCGTCTTTCTTCCTGGTGGCGAGATAGGGAAATCATAGATGCAGGTGTCTTAAAAAAAATAATAATGCAAGTGCAACAACAAAAAGTGTGCATGGTAAAAAGTGATGATTAGCTAGAAGGATGGACAGGGATGGAGATCTGAAGCACGTTGCTCCCCTTTAAACCTCGCTAGGTATCAGTTATCTCTCTAAACATCGGTGACGCCCACGTCCCGGTGAGAGTGGAACAAGGGCGCTTTGGGAGCACTCAGAATGTAACTCTTGACATCCCAGAATAGTCCCTGAAACTGGAAACAAAGCCGCTTAACTGGCGACGCGAAGACAAATAAGTGGCAGTGGTTGCATAGAAAGAAGTTTTCTTTCACACGAACCGAACCGCTGTGCATTATTAATGGGCCGCATATAAGAAGCAACAGCAACTGGCATGAAATGGACCCGGTGGAGCATTCATTCCTTCAGGAGGCAGGAGTGGTTCGTCCGCAGGCTAGAACTTCTTGTGTCCTGTCTCATGTTCTAATTTTGTCTTTCAGTAACTCCCTAAAATTATTCAAGATCAAACCTTTCCTCTTGAGTTTGACATTTGGTCTCTAAAGCATATTTTATAAGATTCCAAAAACGGTGTTATAATTTTCAAAAACTGGAAACAACTGTTCTGTTTTGATGTTTACGCTTATCAAGAAACAGGTATTCATTATATTTGTCCTATGGTAGTGGTGCCTGAAACTTCAATAGTTAACCTCTGTTTCTCTTAAACTTAATTTTTGAAGGCACCTACCACATCCATTTCCAAGTGGGGATGGGAATGATTAAGGTTATTTCTATTACATTTTCTACCGAGGTGTGCAGAAATTTATATTAAAATTGTTTGCATGCATCTAAGAAGATTGCTTTCCACTCTTTAAGACTAAATTGTGTGGCTAGTTGGTATTTGTAAAAGGAAGATTGACCTTTGATGCCAGTTAATATCGTCCTAAGAAGTTTTGGGACCATAGCTCAATAATCAGATTTGCATTTTCTTGGTAATATCTGTAGGGTAAATTTCTAATTAGAATTGTTGTCCATAGCTATTGTAATTCAAAGCATCTTCAGGTTACTGTATATGAAGTTTAATAAGCTGCCCTTACTAATCCTTAGTTCTTCTCCAAGAGTTGACAGTAAATAGACTAGCAATTGAATAAACATGGAGGTTGAACTATTGTGTTTGGGATTGAAATCTAGTGGATAATTATGAATGACTTTCATTTTATGTGTAGCATAAGTAACTTGTGGATTTTTTATTTTTTTTTTTACTTTTTAAATGATGGGGAAAGAACAGTTTTCACATGGCTCTTGCTAATGTGAATTTCCTGAGAATAAGTTTCAGAAAGGACATTTTTAAGTGCTCAAATCCATGACTTTTTTTTTTTATGCTGAATTTTGGTAGGTCAGCACACTATGCAAGGAAAGTATGTTTCAGTGATTTTTAAATTTTTCTGTGATGCTAAACCTATTACAACATTTTAGTAACTTATGAGTTTGTACATTGTAAGTAGTTATTGTGCTTTGTTATGAAAAAATCTCCTCATGTTCAAGAACTAATTTAATTTGCCTCATACCTAATGTCATTTTTCTGAAAACAAAGTTTTTTAAGTGTTAAGGTGTTGTGTTTGAAATTGGATGTTGATCCAACAATTTCTGGGTTGAATCTGGGTCCCTATTTCTGTTTAACATTGAAAAATGTCTTTGGAGAATTACATTTTTATTTATGTCAAAACTTTTCTATGTTGTGACCCCTCAGCTGTCAAATCTTTATTTTCAATGTTTATTCTGATTTTTTAAAAATACATTTTATTGATTTTTTACAGAGAGGAAGGGAGAGGAATAGAGGGTTAGAAACATCGATGAGAGAGAAACATCTATTAGCTGCCTCCTGCACCCTCCTACTGGGGATGTGCCTGCAACCAAGGTACATTCCCTTGACCCGAATCAAACCTGGGACCTTTCAATCCGCAGGCCAATGCTCTATCCACCAAGCCAAACCAGTTAGGGCTATTCTGATTATTTCAATTCAGAATTTCTCAAGTAATAAGAATTTTCTTCTAAATAGTTAAGAATTTTCTTCCAAAAATAAATAGCTTAAGAATCAGATTTGTATTTTCTTGGTAATATTGAAAGTCAATATATGTTCAATTCATTTGAAAAAATTTGAAAACACGTTTGTGTGTGTTTTTTTACATAGAAAATTACAGTTTTTCAAAGCATATTTATTGAATGAATAAAAACCATTCTCATTTAATTCTCCTACTTAGGCTGTAATATTCTTATTTTACATATGAAGAATCTAAGGCTAGGAGAAGCTAAGTTACTAGCAAAAAGGCTACATGATTAATAGTTAAAAGGTTACTCAAACCAAGATCCTGTGACACAAATTAGATGCTTTACTATTGCGTATATCTCAAGGTTAAACTTTGAAGAATCTTGTTTTGACCACCAACTATGTCATGTACTTCTGTATTTGCCTTTAGCCCGGATATCCTTTCTATTATCATTATTTGTATCCTGCCAAGTGTTTAGTTATAAGTTTGAGAAAGTATATATTCATGTGAATTAGAAAAGGCACATTTATATTTGCTTTTAACAGGTCTAAATGCTTTATATATAGAAACTCATACCATTTACATAGGACAGATCTGTGGAATTGATATAATTGTGCCAGGGCTTTAATTTGTTATGTAAGCAGTAACTGAGGTGGGCCTTTGAAATAGTTAATGAAAATTAAAAAATAACTTTAGTAACATTCAGTGATGTTTAAAGTTGGGTCAGCCAACATGTGAAATTCTTCATTTTTTAAAAGCCATAGACCATTTAGAATTCTGCAGTATTTATTTTTTAAATCTCTAAATCGTAGGGGTTGAAATGGAGTTTGAGGGGTCTAATCAGTCTACACTTGCTTATATCTTGCAAGTGGTTGGCATCCAACAAAGTGAAGAATAAACTGGTAAATGATCCTTGTTTGGTGGACACCTCGGAGCAAGCTGTTCCTTGGCAGGGTATACTGACCTGGTTTAGCTTTGGCCCTGTCAGTGCTCAGGAGTTCAGGTATTTTTTTGGGTTGGATTCCAGTGGATTTAAATTCTCAGACTGGCCTGTATCAAAATAGTCACAGATTTTGAAATCAGCCTGTTCTGCAGTGTCCTCTTTAAGACCTCTTTTGTTTAATCCTGGAGTCTCGTCTGGATTTGAACTAGCCTTAGAGGTTATAATATAAGATTAATTTGTCAGGTATTTATGCAAAGGGATTTTTCTCTAAAGTTTCTTACATTTCAAGTGTGAAGTTTACTAATCTGAAGTAATGTTGCCCTGCATTTACATAGGACAGGTAGCTTTAACAGGTCTAAAAGCTTAGTTAGCGCTAGCATCTTTATTTATTCCATATTGAACATGCTTATGCCTGTTTGCTTTTTATATAATATTAGAGACTTCTGATAAGTGCACATGTTTTCCGGATTGGTTGAAGTTCAGGAAAGGAATTATAGTAAACAAGCATGTACAGTTAAGCTGACAGAAATTGCATTCTGTCATAGAGGAATAGATGTTCTAAGATTAATTTATATCTTCCTTTGAGATTATTTACAAATATATGTCAACAATTTTCTTTTGACATTTGTCAAGCATTTTAGTCCTGATGTTACCCCACTCCTCGCTATTTCTGAGCAAATATGGTAATAATTTAACTTCTAATGCATTTTAGCTAAAAATCTCCAAGATCTAAATAGCATTTGAACATGGTAGCAATGTTCTGAAGTAGAGAATTCTAAAGGGTTCAATTTTATATATCTTAACATAAATGTTTTACTGAGGTTTAATTCACACAACATAAAATTAACCATTTAAAGTAAGCAGTACAGCCCTGCCAGTGTGTCTCCGGGGGGTTGAGTGTTGACCCCATGCACCCAGAGGTCACAGGTTCAATTCTATTAGGTCTAGTAATAATTAATGTCGTTTTCTAATACTTTTTTAAATCTAATTTATTTAAACAATACAACAAAATTTAATCAACAATATAGTTGCCGTTGTTTTCTACTACTTGTGCCCAACGCTCAGGAAGCATTTTAATCCCTCTGTTGTAAAATTCTTGTGATTTTGATGCAAAAAATTCGGTCAATGCATTTTTTAGGCATTCTTCATTATTAAATTTTTTTCCAAGAAGAAAGTTTTGCAAAGAACAAAACAAATGGTAATCGGAAGGCGCAATATCAGGAGAATATGCAGGTTGAGGGAGAACTTCCCATTCCAACTGGCGCAGTTTTTCAGCAGTGATTCTTGCAGTATGCTGTCGTGCGTTATCGTGGTGAAGAATTACGCCCTTCCGATTAATCAGCGCGGGTTCTTTTTCTCTTAAAGCTTGGGCTAACCTTTCCAATTGGGCACTATACACTGCACTTGTAATGGTTTGGGTAGATGGTAAAAGTTCATAATGAAGAATTCCTTTAAAATTCCACCAAACACACATCATCACTTTTTTCGCATGCAAGTCAGGTTTTGGCGTGGGCTGCAGAGCCTCATTTTTGTCCAACCATTGAGGCCGCCTTTTCAAATTAACATACAGCACCCATTCTTCATCTCCGGTAACAATTTGCTCTAAAAACGGCAAACGGTTTTGACGAGAGAGGAGCGAACTGCAAATTGTGACTCTTTGATTACGGTTGTTGTCGGTCAACTCATGAGGAACCCATTTTCCAAACTTTTGGACTTTGCCAAGTGCACGCAATTGATTGGAAATTGTTTTTTGTGAACAATTTAAAGTTGTCGCAAGCTCTTGTTGGGTAATTTGAGGATTTTGCACCAAAAGAGCTTGAAGAGCTTCTTGATAAAAATTGGACACACGGCCTCGACCACTCTTGTCATCTAACGAAAAATTTCCCTCGTGAAATTTCTCAAACCAACGCTGGCATTTTCTGGCGCTAACTGCATCTTGACCAAGAGCACTACAGATGTTTTTTGCAGCCTCACTTGCTTTTCTTCCTAATTGGAACTCGTAAAGCATGCAGTGCCGAATATGCTCTTCATCCGCCATCTTCTTAGCCCTAGTTTTGCAACAAAAACCAAACCAAACACAAACTTTTTCAAGCAAAACTTGTTAATTGCACTTCACACGTTCTGTAGATACCACGTGTTTGAAGGTTATGTCAATACAAGTCAACGCCAAGCAAGACTTTAAATGTTTAAAAACGACATTAATTATTACTAGATAGGTCAGGGCACATGCCCAGGTTGCAGGATCCATCCCCAGTAGGAAGCATACAGGAGGCAGCGGATTGGTGTTTCTCTCCGATGTTTCTATCTCTCCCTCTCTCTGAAATTAACTAAAAAATTAAGCAGTACAGTGGCAGTACATTCACAATGTTTTGCAACTATCATCTCTAATTCCATACATTTTTATTACCCCCAAAGGAAATGGTATAGTTGTTAAGAGGTTATTCTCTATCCCCTTTCTCCCTAGTCTCTGGCTACCACCATTCTATTTTTTCTCTTTGGATATAAAGAAAATTATTTTGAGACAAAATTGAGGAGGAGTACTATGTACAATTAAAATTGCAGGAAAATTTTTAGAAAATGATTGTTAAAAATAAAAACCCACTCATTCTTTTCATGCTTTTCCAAGTACAGTAGTAGGCTATTGCCCAGGGACTTTTTATGGAAGAAAAGTTGGGAGTCACAGCTATTTGCAGTTTTAGTTTTGATCATTCTGAAGGCGTTATACTCAGACTCTCAGAATCATTTGTATTTCTTCATTGGGTTGTGAGACTTTCCGTATTTTCCGAGGTATAAGACGACCCCCTAATTTTACAGTTAAAACATAGGTTTAGGCCTATATTCGCTGTATAAGACTACCCCCCACTTCCGAGGCAACACCAGTTCTTTTTTTAATAGACCGCCTCTCTGACTCTGGCCAATCTGAGCAGGCTTTTTACTAGAACACAGTGTCGTTTTATATGCCAGAAAATACGGTATTTTTAAAGCCATTTTAAGTTTCTTTAAATTTTATTGGGATTCTTTTCCATTTTTTCGCCCCCAAATGATTTTCTCCTGGCTTGTTTTGTCACCATGTGTGTATTTTCATGGGTATCTTGCTATTAGCGTTTCGAATGAAGGTTAATTTTCTAAAGCACAAATTTTTTAGATGTAAATTATTATCAGGATATATTTCTTTACATGATATTCTTCCACTGTCACCCCCTTTTTTACTTTAAATAATAGGAAACTTTTGGAAATTTTATACTGTAGTCTTGATAGCTTTTACATTTTAAGTTAGTTGCGCTACACTATGACTACTTTAGATTCATAACATGTTGTGCAATTTTACCGTGGGCCTTTTGGTTTTCTTAATGTATAAAGCAAGTTGAAATATTGACAGACTTATTTGAGATTATATTGGGAAGTCATTGTTAGATTGATAACCTTTGATCCTATCCTTATGACTAACTTTGTGACTATTTTATTCAGCCATGTTTTGGGATATTTAGATTCACCTGAACTCTGCTTTTATCCCTGTAGAATAAATCTTAGAAATCTTTATATGTGACTCATTCCAGAAACATAGACACTGTTACAGATGCGATTGATCTTTTAGCTTTTTTGGATTGTTTTAGTTGGTTGATTGAGGGAGAAAACAACTATGTATTTCTTCTTTCCAAAATAACATAATAAATTTGGACTTCTATAAATTTAAAATTGCTACTAAGTTTAAAGTTTTAATTTTGAGCTTTTTAGATATTCTTTTATCCTTATCTTAAATTCAAAATGGTACTTCCCTAGTTTATTGAAATCTTAAAATGTATGGTGAGAAGTGAAATACAGATTTTCTGTTATTTGTGAAGATTTGTAATAGGTTACAAGAGGTCTAAGTGGAAAAGAAGAATTTAGCCTGACCAGGCTGGTTCCAGTGATGAACCAGGAGGTCACAGGTTTGATTCCTGGTCAGGGCACATGCCCAGGTTGTGGACTTGCCTCCCCAGTAGGGGGCTGGTCAATGATTCTCTCTCATTGATGTTTCTATTTCTCCCGGTCCCTCTCCCTCTCCATCCCTCTCTGAAATTAATAGAAATATATTATTTTAAAAAGAAAATAATTTAAATTTTGATACTAATCCCCCCTTTTAGGGAAAAGTTATGTAATTAATAAAGTTAGTTCTAAGGACAGCCGGGACTGGCTTGGCTCAGTGGATAGAGCTTCGGCCTGCGGATTGAAAGGTCCCGGGTTCAATTCCGGTCAAGGGCATGTACTTTGGTTGCAGGCACATCTTCAGTAGGGGGTGTGCAAGAGGCAGCTGGTCGGTGTTTCTCTCTCATCGACGTTTCTAACTCTCTGTCCCTCTCAATTCCTCTCTGTGTAAAATCAATAAAATATATTTAAAAAAAAAAAGAAGTGATGAAAAAGAATTATATAAGACTATTTAGGACTCAATGTAAATTTCTGCATTTTTTAAGTAGTGAATTTTTTCAGGGAAATGTCAGTTCTTTATAAATTTATGTTTTTATATATAACTCATTAATTTTTATAATAACATTTATTGAAAAGCTAGTGTACTATATGTAATCATAAAAATAACATATTTTTACAAATTTATTTTTTTGAAAGTATTTCAGATATTTCCCTACCCCCCCAAAAAAATAACATCTTTAAGTGGGTGATGTTTAAAGATGCTTGAAAATATGATTTAGTGGATGATTTGGGAATGAAACCGGATTGTTAATATTTTTAACTTTATTATAGAACAATATTTTATCTATCCAGGTTCCAGCTTAGAATAAGAAGTAGATAAAAGACCTTTAATTATCACTAAAATTAATTAACTAAATCATCTGATTAAAGCACTGGCTTGCAAAATCTCTTGCTTTGTAGGTAATTCTAAGAAGTTTGATGATCTCTTTTCTAATTCCCATAGCAGATTAAAAGGTACAAGGAGGGTGACAGGAAAAAAAACAGGTTAGCTTGGAGCCATTTGATAATAGGGATAGTACTTCATTAGACTCTAAGTGTATGGTTAATTATTGTGTTGTGCTCAGTAACTTATTCAAAAGATTTAGAGAAGAATA